TTAGAGATTAAGTTCCAAATTAGATTATCTAATGGCATCTTAATGGATTGCTGACCCATTTCCTGTGGGATGGCAGCATGCAAGTCTGGCTGGAATACAATTAATTTCTTAGGAAGTGTTCTGAAGAGTTTCCTAGATAAAAAGGAAACGTTGTGTTGTGCAAATCTTCTTTTATAAATGGGGAAAGTTAGGCAAAACTAAAACAAATCCCAATGAGTGTTTTTCAACAGCCAGATCACAGATATTGCGTATGGGTGAAAACCATGTAAGATCATTTTAAAGAACAGTAACATTTTTAGTTTTGATTTCACAACAGGTGAAAATAATTTTGATGAGAACAGAGTAATTGTTTTAAATAGATTATTCAAACATAAGGAGCGACAACAGTTAGCAGAGCAGCCCTGTTCCCAAACAAGGGTCATGCAATTTTAGCTTTTGCAATTTTCCTCCTTGAAACAGAGATTCTTCAGTTCATCTACCTATCAGCATTTCTATCATAGTCCCTGAGTGGTGCTAGGGGCCCAGAATGGTGTGTAAAAAGTTGGACATTTTGAACACACTTTAGAGCTGACAGCTGAAAAGGAAATTCAGCACTCTGAGAATAAAGCTCCCCCCAGGAACTGCAAGAACGACCCAGCTGTTGTATTGTAGTTATGTGTCAAGATAACAAACTGAAAGCAGGAAATGCTAACTAGTGAATTCATAGGGATGGTTTAAGTGAAATGTTGAAATAAAAGTTAACTCTTAATACTACCTATGGATATGTCACGTACTGCCCATACCATACAAGTACTATATGTATATTATGTGAGTATATCCCTGTACACACACATGCATATGTATATGTGTGTGTATACACATGTACACACATACACCATATACTCACCTACACACATACACATATATTTATATGCAAATGTATGTTTCATAAACCTATACTGAAGATTACTTTGTTTAAATATTCATTCTTAAATCACTGAGCCTATACATCTTACAAGGACAACTGGATGGGCAGCGCAAGGAAGATGGCAGGTTCGGGGCAGTGTTATGCAAACAGGGTGTGTGCACAAAATGAATGCTACTGCTCCTTCCTTTTTGCCCTCCCTCTCCAGACCAACCAGATCCAAATAATCTTTACTGGCTGCTAAATTTCTCTTGGGAAATCAAGCAACTCTCTAGAATTGCAGTAATAAACGACAATTTCTTACAAAAACATGTGTAAAGTAACTACAGAATGAAGTATTCAACTCATAGAAAGGAACTGCTAACACATGTAACATGTAAAATAGCTGATAAAAGTCTCTTTGGTGCCATTCAATTATGGCATCAGCAGAAACACAAAAACCCTTCCAATTATTTCAGTAAAATTCTTCATTTATTCATTATTTCAGAGGCTGAGCAAATGGTTTGTGTAAACATATCCTTCAGTAACACGCGCATGTTTACTTTAGCCATCTGAAGGCTTCTTCTATGTTTATATAAGCAATCAGACACATACAGCCACTCACTTGTGGCTTTGCCTTTTCCTGAAAGGGGTGAAGGGGAGAGCAGAGGGAATGAAACAATAAATCCAGTTTCTCTTTTGCATAAAGCGCCCCCTCCAATGTTTTAAAATAACTTATGTTTATATTATTCTTGGATTGTCCTTCAGCTTTCTTTTTCATTCAATTATATTGCTCTTTTATATTCGATAGCACAAGCTATATTCTGGCTATAGTTTCAAGACAGAAAGTCAGTTAGGGAGTTAACTGCTATATTTGTTTATACTCACATAACTCACATAGGCAACAATATAATTTATCCACACTGGAGGACAAAACTCAGACACAACAGTGCCCTTATGAACAACATACGCAACTCATCACCTATCCCCCCCCCCGCAAAAGCTGGACCCCTCCTGACTCAAGCAGAAGCCAGCCCTTCACCAATGGATTTCTCTCTGCGTTCCCTGCCACACCTGACCTTTTGGTTAGACAGAAAAATTCACACAGGTGCAAGCCACACACACACATAACTCACAAAATTCTAAGGTCAAAACAACAAAACACCTTCAGGGTTGCAACCTAGTAAGTCTGTAAAAACTTTCCCAAAAAGTATGCTTTGGTTCCTAGGGGAATGTTTATACATTGGCGGGTGGGGATGGGGTTAGGGGTAGGGGTGGGAGTGGGCCGTGAGGGTGCCAGGAAGGAAGGAGGAGGATGGAGGAAACCCTCCAGCTTTGATTACACTTGCACGGCCCCCTGGGCACTGCCATTTTCAGGCTGGAAAAAGGGGCTGCATTTAACATGGAGACACTTCTACAGGAGGACTGGCCTAAAGCAGAACAGGGGCAACCATGGCAGGTGACTGTATGAAGAAATTAATGGCAACAAGTAATCAAAATAAAGTGATGGCAAAGCACAAACAAAAAACAAAACACTTTCTTTGACTGGTTTTTCTACTACAAAGTCTCTAGGGATTGCCTTTTGTTAAAAACAAGAAGCAACAACCACAACAAAAATAACCTGATGTTTTCTTTATTTCATTAGGACAAAGGCAGGTTATTTAATTCTTTGGTTGAATAGATCTACATTGCTCATATATTTTCAATTTATTCAGATAATTTTAAAGTTGTAGCAGTGCCCTGAAAGTTTAGATGTCTGTTATCTGCATTAGAAGTAGCAGTGTTACAGATACTTATGATATTCTTTTGCAGTGTCCCTTCTAGAAAAAAAAATGTTTCATAAATAACCACACGGCATGAACTATAAACCATAAACATATTATAAATATGTTGTGCCACAGGCATGGCTGATGTGTATTATCAAATGTGGACTCCACTTGTCCCTATTTTTAAAAACTATACCAAAGCAAACTGCTGTCTCATTTGAGTAATTTTGTTCTGAACTGTATGACACTTAGATTTTAAGCATCTGTACCTCAGCGTTGGGGTCAGCCCACCACAGAGGGTCAGTAAGTACCTGTTGAATGTATGGATGGGACACATGCCATTATCAATCATGTGCCTTCTGAATCATGATAAAATGGAAAGAAGAAAACCAAAAGCTACCTTTGTAAAGCTGTTTGAATCATTAAGGTCATTTATCTATAATTGTCTACTAATTTAAAATTAAAATTTTGAGAAGGGGAAAATGACATCTTGACTAAATAGATTGAAGTTTTTCCTGACTTATCACCTGAAACTGATGACCACACCACCGTTTCACCGAGAAGGGGATTTGTAGCATAAACAACATTCTCCTAAGAACTGAGTTTAGTCATCACATTAATTCCCTCCAATACATGTATGTTCTGTGGTGCTTCCTGGTCCACTCACCTTTTCCTTTTTGGGGGATATCAATTTTTTTCTTTGAAAAATTACTAGAAACTAGGTATAGTTATACTTTAAATCTCCAATAATTTATATCTTTATTTGGCTTTAATGTACCTTAAAGGTTCTATCCTATTTTAGATAAGTAAATGTCAATCAGTAATGCATGGATTTGAAAGCTTACACAGCTACGGCCACATTGAAAACCACAAAAACACTACATCTAATTTGCAATTCTTGTAAACCGTGAGATTTGTATGCTGATGTGGACCATTTTGCTAACAGAGCATGGAATATAAGGAAGTTATTTAATAGAAATCACATCTAAACAGTGTTGTCATATCTAATTAAATTAATTTTAAAATACCTATTAAGACAATTTAAATAAAATATTTTCATTGACTTTAATTAAGAGTATAAATTACTACAACTTTAAATAAGATGCTCTCATTAAGCTTATCTTCTTTCTTATAAGTATATATTATATTTTTTCAAATAGAGGAATATGTAAGTTTCTTGGGGAAAAATCAAAATATGTAAAAATGTCTACATCTTAAAGTGGATGTTATATCAATCTGTGAAAAGAGGAAAAGTCATATTGTATTCATTTTAGGTAGTATGTTAATAAAACTTGAGGTTTTAAAACAGAGTCCAACTAATTTTCTTAGTTTTCACCTGAGGAAAAGTGGACATTTTATTAATTTCGTTCTTTTAAACTCCACTGTTTAGCAGTTTCTATCACACAACGTGGAGATGTGTGGCCCACGGACAACTGAGATGTGTGTACGTGTTTTTAACAGAGGCACGTTCAGTAAACAGGATCACAATCACAGCAGGGCTGGAAAATTATGTTGGCTCTACTTATGGTGAACTCCTTATGGGATTACCTCACTCTCTGCTGAAAATTTTTATCTCTTGTTACATATGATTATACCATGAATTTTAATTATTTAAATTGTCAGTCTAACAAAAGTTGTTCTTTATTAAAATAATACACGACACTACTTACTTTCTAAAACCAACATGAGACAATATCAAAACTAGTTTTGAAAATGAAGTTTTAGAATCATTTTCTCAGCCAACCAAATAAAGTCAATTCTTAATGACTCACATCAATGTACAAACAGAAGTTAAAATTTTATTTAAACCAAATTTTTTTAGCTATTAATTCCAACAATCTTCCCACTCCTAAATTTATGAGTGCTGCTAATAACAGTAAATGGACTAATTAAAAATTTTTCTTCTAGCTTTTCCCCTCTGACAGGGGAATAAATGAATAATAAAATGGCTTAAAGTTAACAATCCAGGAAAGAGCTGAAATGAGAAGAATCTATAATGTTAAAACCCAATAGCTAAAAAAAAAAAAAACTTCCCTAAAACCAATTTCATATTTTGGGTCCTAAAGTCCTAAAGTATAAAATCCCCCCTTCAAGAAAAATATTATAAATTATTTAAAATACTTCATAGCACTTAGAAATTCCAATAATTAATTAGCATATGTTATAATCCCAAATTAATTTAAACTTGCATTTATATAAGAAATAAAGAAAGAGGGTAGAGAAAGAGGGATGGTATATCCAAAGCAACTAAATTTTTAACATATATTATCTATAAAACTAGTTAAAACAAACACTATAGCTCATGTAATTTTTAAGTGTAAGTGTAGGGTTGGAAATAATTAAAATGTTACCTTTGCCAAGTAATTCCCAATGTATCCTCACTGGTACTGGGGTATAAATGCCTGCCGTTTTGATTCATGGTCCAGTCACAAATCCTCAGCTGTCAATTGAAACCTAGCAGTCAGATATGGATCGAGCAGTACTACAGTTTTTAGTATTTAAATGAACACATGCAAACTAGTACTGTACATGGCATTAACCATACTTTCCCAAGAGGCAATTTAAAGAAAAAAAAAAAGCAAAAGAAAAACCTGACTCTGAAAAGCAAAATTCCTAGACTCTTTTTCAGAAAAAGCTATTACAATACGCTTCTCTATTAATTAAAGCATACAAGAGAAACAAGTGCTTAGAACATAACAATTAGCCATTATTAGAGTACAAATTGAGCTGCAATAAAAGCAAACGTTAATGTTCAATAGAAAGATATATTTTAAAAGAAAATAAAAAAGCTTTTTAAAAAATGCAACACACCAAATAATCTGGACTGAGTAAAAGAATCATTTCAAGCATGCAGTTTGCAAAACACAGAAGACATGCAGTTTAGAGGGGAAAGGCCCCACCTCTCTGACACTGTCCCTGACTTATGTTTGGAAGCATCAAGGTATTCAGTTGTAGATGTTCACGAATTTTGTCTTATTCAAAGTGGCATTTTTAGAAAGAGTTGATAAGAATTTCTACTCTTATTTTAAACTCACAGTAATGGCACTTAAAATACTTTACCATATCTGAATAGAGTGAGGAATGCACTGAATACAAGCTGAAACAAATTCTTCCCAGATATCCGAATCATCAGCTCTGCCCTTCAGAGATTGTTCAAGTAACCCTATCCAGCTCTGTTTGGTTAACAGCTGCCCTACAGTGCTAGCAGATTTATTGAAAAGATATATTGCTTATTTTTATGCTTAAGAAAGTAAACTTATCTGGCTTTGGGGAAAAAAAAACACTAGAAAAATCATGGTTTTTAATCTTTAGATAGCTGTGCTGTAAATTACCTGCATCTTGCATTGAAAAGATGGCTTATTCACAGCACACCCCTAAACCTTGCTGGGTATTTCTCAGTGAGCATTTCTAAAAAATAATGATTGCAGCCAAAGTGCCTTTAAACTTAGGATAAATTATTTTAATCCTTTCTGATAATGTTACGGCTAAAAAATTGGCTATTAAGAATCTTTCCTTTTCTTGTTATACTCTCCAGTTTCTACACACACTAAGTAAAAGTGATTCTGGATTCTTAGAATAATCGTTTTTGCTCATTTTTCTGCAGATCTATAAGGCTCCAAAATACCACCTAAAATTTCTAAAACATGTGTTTTAATTATATTGATATTTCAGGTAAAAGTAACTTGAAAATTTAAAGAACTGAAAAAAATCACTTAATGTAGGTGAATAAACAGGTAGACAGATAAACAGATTGATAGATATGTAGATTCTGCTCAGGATACATGTCATAAAGAAGCCATAAGTAAGAAGGTAAATTAGAATAAAAATATTCTTAAAATTGATCATAATACTTGCATAGAGGAGGAAATGCATACTTGATTAGCTTTAAATCAAACAGGCAGCACCTTAATATGGCAAGATGTTTAAAATGTCCTCAAATTGGGTCATCTAATTACAAATGCAATATGATGGGGCAATCTGAAATTGATTTTTTGCAGTAAACGTAACCCAGTTGTCTATTTCAAAAATATATACATTTTTAAAATCAGTACTATGCAAATAACCTAAAACTATCCAAGAAATTTGATTTTGTGTAAAGATTACCAAAGGAGCCACTTATTGATTCTGCTCTACTGAATGAAAATTCTAGTTTGGAGTCAATTAAATATTCTCAATAAGATAAGAGTATATGTAGGCAGAGCCCAATATAATTCTGCTGGTTATTAACTTCTGGTTAGTTTCTGTGGGGCAGTTAGGTTAGACTGAAGTAGATTTCGGAAGACACTTTCACAAAGCCAGCTGAACCTAAATATTACTCATTCACTGGCTTGTAGTCTCATGGACAACTGCAGGCATGATATGATATGTCTCCTGGGAAGGATGTATATGTAAATTGTCAGTATTTTGTTGTCCATGTTGCTAATTTTTTGTTTGTTTACCATCCCCAAAAATGTCAAGTGAGCTAACTTTGGCCACATGTGGAACACTTACAATCAATGTATTTTTGGACTTTTTCCTGAGAGTAGTCTCACAGGGATTCAACCTGGCTGCAGCTGCCATTGTCATATTTCAGATCCACACAACAGGAGCATTTTCTCCCACTTAAAAATATGCTTAAGTATATAGAAAATGATCACAATATATTTAACAATAATTTAAAAGCCAACGAAATTGACAGGATATTAATTTGTATTGAATTAATTTCCTTTCAGTTACAGAAAATGTAAAATATAATTTGAAGTTTCTTAGCTATTTAGATTGTGGGCTGGCACTAACAACATTTTCAAAAATTTGAGGAGGCATGTGTATGCACGCTTATATGTTAAAACTTACTTCAAGTATGTTGCTTAAGCAAGTGCCTCTCCACATTTTAAAAAATATATTAGTTATTAATTTTACATAAAGTATCTTTGAATTAGTAAACCTCCTGATAATGTAAAAAATGTAAAGGGAATTTTGTAGATGGGGGAAACAAATAATGAAGATAAAAACCACCTCTTCACTAAGATGTCCTGGAAACTAATTCCTACTAAAACCAGTTCCTTGTTTGAGCAAGATAGTCCTGACTCAGCAAATTTTAAATGAATTCTACATTAATACTGTGTTAATAGGTGTATTTAAGCATCTTTTTGGGGTCTGTTAACTGATCACGGTACTAGAATAATTCAGTATTTTTTTAAAAAATGAATTTTACATTAGGCTTTAAATAAATTTAAAATAATAGGTGATAATGTTATTTGAGTTTGGTGTGGTAATTCCTCAGTCTCTCTCCTGTATTACATAATTTAGCTATCAATTTATTTTTTAATTAAATTTTAAAAGTTTAATTTTGAGTGGTATTATAAGGTTTAATAACATGAGTTTTGCAAGTGTTTCCCCTCAAAAATAAGAATTACTTTTTTCCCCCAATAGTAATCAAACTTAAAATAGCAGGTGCAGATTAGTTTAGAAGTTCAGCCTGTTCAATTTTTGTGTTTGTATGTGTAGGGGTAGTAATTCTTATTTTTGTAACAATATAGACTCTTTGACAGACCTCATCATATGTATATCCTTGCAGAAATGCACACTCATATACATAATTTTAATTATCTAACTTGTATACACCTACTAGTAGGAAATTAGATTGTTTACAGAATTAAGGTATTCAAACAATTTATGCCCAGAACTCCTAAAGCAAACAAAAGGTGAAATAAGGAAGGAAGATTCTCCTCTGAAAGAGCTATGAATAAACAGGTAACAGGTTGAAATACTACAAATTACTAAGAGAGAATTGAAGGTAAAGATTTCACTGCATATGCTCTTAGAATGGACTTCCATGCTCTCTGGGCTGAGAACCTTGCTCCTCTCCCAATTTGACTGAGATTGTTTCACAGAGACAAGGATTAGGACCACGCAGTTTCTCTTGAAAAAACTGCACAAGGGGAAACACCTAAGAACTGGATCATTATTCTTTCCTACACTACACTCAAATATGCAGATAGCTGATAGCTATAAAGAATCAATATCGCTTGTGATTTCAGAGTAAGAATTGGTTTACTCAAATGAGAGCACTCTACTGTTATGAACTTGGGCTTTTGTTAAATGTTTGGCATTAGCTTTGGGAACAAAACAAAGAAGTAAGCAAAACCTTCTACTTTGTTAGACTCAGCAAAGTCTGGTGTACAGTCCCTCTTGATGACAATAGCTTTCAGTTCAACTAACACACCATTAAACTGTAAACAGCATAATCAACATGGGAAAATTTGCCTTTTCACTTTTTAAAAATATTTTGTTTATTTTTAGAGAGGGAAGGGAGAGAGAGACATCAATGTGCAGTTGCTGGGGGTCATGGCCTGCAACCCAGGCACGTACCCTGACTAGGAATCGAACCTGCGACACTTTGGTTCGCAGCCCGAGCTCAATCCACTGAGCTACGCCAGCCAGGCCTTTTCACTTTTTTTAAGTATACCATGACCTCAAGGGAATATCTTGAAAGGTGTATTTTCTATTTTCTTAGATTTCTTTATTTCTCCAGATAGCTTCAATGGAACAGATTTTGGTGGGCAGGGGAGGAGGGAGGTGCTTAAAAAGATTAACACTCCAATATTCATACTTTCCTTTTAACTCTTGGATTAGTAGAATTTTATTTGATTATTATGAGTAATTACCTGCCATGGAGATTAAAAAAAATGGGGGCGGGGGGCTTTGAATGAACAGGATGTAGCCTGCCTTGCTAAACAAGTAAAATGATCAGAATAAAATTGTTACATGTTGGGACATATAGCACATATTTTTTAAAAAAGATATTCAAGGTCATCTTGGTACCTTCAAGTTATTTCTAATGTCAGTTTCTGAAACCTATGCTTCTTGATGTTTAATTTAATTAGCATAGTAGAATTAAGTGGATATGTATAGTCCATGAACTAAATAAACATTACTGACCATAAATCATAAGGATTAGAAAATGAAAGTTTTGTTGTTAAGATGGAAGCTATTTTAATGTGTAAAGTCTAAGGTTTCAAGGGAACTTAAAGACTGGGTAATTCAACCTCTTCATTTTCCTTTCCGAAATAAGAATAAAAGACAGCAAAGTTTAAGGACTTGCCTAAGGTTAGAAATTCCTTGTTCGTGTCAACACTAAAACCAACCTCCTGAATCCCAATCCCTGGTCCTTGCCCAGGACACCAGTGTGCTGGCCATTGTTGTTTTCCTACCATTTCCTTTTATGTGCAGCCCCCAAATACTTAAAGCTACAACATTTATTGGTATAACCTCTAGAATTTCCTCTACTTCCCTGATTCAACTTAGATGTTTTAAATTCAACATTTTCAGAAAAGATCACCAGTCCCTTGTGATTTTGTTTATTAAAATTTAAGGTTTCAGTAATTATAATTTTATTTTTACATTAGGTAGTTTATCTGGACATTAGCCTTTGATAACAAATATGTTACCTAATAAATGAATGAATAAAAAAAGACCGTAAATTTTTTTAAATTTAAGAACTAATTCAAAAGCTAAACATTTGCATAGCCATTATTTTGACTGAAACTTCCTTTAAATGTGTTTCCTTTCCAACCAGCATATGTGAAAAGTGACCTCTTATCCATTTACATACCTACCCAGAAGTCATATGATAGGGTTTTGCGTCAAGCTGTCAATTATGATAACAGACACAATAAGAACAGCCCAAGTGTTGATAGCCTGCTTCCTGACTTTATTAAAAAGTTTGTTGATAGTCCACTTGTGTCCTTTCAGTTGCCTGCCTCTAATAAAAAAAAGCTACCTTTCAGTGGTTTTAATGTACCTGACTTTGACTTTGACATTTCATTTGCCAGGACAAATATTATACAGAGGTTTCAATTAAAATATTAATTTTTAAAAATCCTATGAAAGCAATTTATTTAAAGGACCATTGGGTGTAAAAGAAATTTTCAGTGTAATGAACAGTACTTTCAAATTCTAGTTACAAAATTATATCCAGAAAAGGGTTAAAGATATAAAGTAGCCCAGTAATTGAAATTGAAATAATAGCATTATACAGTCATGCAAGAGATGTAGCATGCCGAAACTCAAGCACCAGTAAAATCCATGCAATTGTGATCAGTAATGCCAGGACCTGAGTTCATCAAGCCATTCATTCATTAGCTGTAATAAGTAGACCTATAGTCAGGAGATTATAATTTTGAAGATTATGAAAATAAGCCTTGTGACATAAACTAGAGCTTGATTGACTTTATTCAACTTAGTTGAATTGACTTTATTTTCTCACTTAGGGAAAACAAAAGTGACCTCCCATCTGTGTCATCCAAAATCTCAACTCTGTATCATAGGTTACCATGCACTTCAATAGCTGGTTCATATCATAATCTTTTACTTCCAAACAAGAAGCTTCTTAGTCACAGACTTTTATTTCCAACTGGCAATAAGGTTTTTTTATATGTCATATTCATGTATAAACAGTAAAGATTTATATTTTTATTATGACCTTACACTCAAATATAATGTTGATAATCAAGTTAACTAGACCCTCTTATATTACTAAACTTTCTATGATAGCAAAGAAAGAAGGTCTGCAATTTAGCTAATTCATTATAAGGTTGACCAGATAAGGAATTGGTGCTAATTCAAGTAAATTGTCTCACACTCATCACTTATACTAAAATTGTTAGACTGGATTGTAAAATAATTTCTGTATTTTCTAAGCAACATCCCTCACTCTGCTACATAGCTTCCCTTTTCTCAAAGACAAAACTTGGAAAATGGAGTTCCTTCATTGTCTATGATAATGAGTGTGCATGAAATGTAGGAGGAAATGAAACACTGCATTTTACTAAACTTCTATGAAGTTTCGTCAGAGAGGAGGTCTTGACACTCCTGAAAAATTCCACATCATAAAAAGACATTTCTCAGCAGTGACTAAAGAGTTCAGTTTGCCAAAGCAGGACCCACGAGTTCTTTAAGCCACCACAACATCTTCCAATAGAAAAGTTAAAGAAGAATGAAGCTCCAACTGAAATCCTGATTTTTATTTCCCGCATGCCAATAGTGAATGCATGAACTAAGCCAATCACCCCAAAGGCAGTCTAGTTCCAGGCCTTGAATAGCACTCAATATGGTGTTAAGAGATAAAGGAAAAATTTAAAGTCCTGATCAGCTGGCATGAGCAGATTATTATGATTCATTAGAATTGTTTTTAATGTTAAATTATCACCTGTTTTCCATGAATCTTTTTTGAAATATTACTCATGATTGTGTGATTTTATTTTTTAGATTCAAATGAGATACATTTACAGTGACGGGTAAATTCTTGTGTCAGGGAAAAAACTAGTATTTTAAGGCAGTTAGCAAGCAGTATTAATCAGTAATAACTATCATCAAAAGGAACACAGAAGTGCTTAATTCCTAATAACAACTGCATGTGTACCAAGTTAATGGGTACAAAGACATATACTAAAAGTATATACTTTTAGTATCCAGATTGACAAATAGGAATGTATTACTCTTCCAAGTGGAATACAGGGTTAATTTTAATATTTCCATCTCAATTTAAAAATGCCAGCATTCAATATTGAAAGCTCTGCTTTAGAGTCATTTTGTGGAAAGATTATTTTATGATAGTCAAAATTATTCAGCAATTTAAAATTTATCCTTAGCTCTAATTTATGTAGGGTATATTAAAGTTCTTTTCTAAGAAAAAATAGCACTGAACAATGCACATCAATACTTTTCATAACCTAAAAGGATACATCTTTATAAAGCAGCCGCCAATGAACTGAAGAATGTACCTGGTGACAATATTTATTCTTAAGAGGTCATGTATATTAAAGGCTATGAAGAATGTTTAAAAGGGCCCTCTCAGACTAAAATCATTGCCTTTCTAATTTTGAATTTCTCCTGGCTAATATAAAATGATTGATTACCTTTATTTCATGTACCCCTTGATTTTCCTTTTCATTCATCACTGAGTACTTTAAGCCAAATGCATTTAGAACCTGCTGCTAGAAGAGTGTTCTCTTTTAAATCTTTGTAAAGTAATGAAAGGACACAGTAAATCAATCTCATTTCTGTTACAGAAAAGAATAACCTTTACTCCACTAAAGTCATTTAGACTATTTCTGTCCCTCTGTTCCTGATAGTAAATGTAAAACTTTATCTCCATGATTCTTCTAAAATTTGAAAGTATAAAAGCAGTAAGTTTTTAACTGGAGCCTTAGTTTAGTAATATACATGTATAGTAGGATAAACATATACATTCATTTTCTTCATGCCTCAAAATTGTAGCCCATTATGCATTTGGCACATTGGCTTCTTCAATTCAAAAAGTAGCACTAACTCCATTTATAGAGGACAATTATCTTTCTGCATTGTATTTCAAATTGAACATTATAGTTTTAGCTATGAAGCTGATATAGGTTGTTTTTTTTTTCAGAAAAAAATAAATCATATTTATATTATAAGGGGTCTTACTTGGCACTGTCCACTTAAATAACAAGTTGGTTGTCTTTGATGAAGAAAGTTCTGGAATATATATATATTTATTTATACATACACACACACATATATATATATTTCCAATTAAAATGTGCTCAGAAACCTATCTACATTAAGACTCATGATGGTTGCTAATTTTTTTAAATTTACCCTTGGATATGTGAAAAGAGATGTAACTTTTATATAATGAACTTTTGTGATCATAATTCCATGAGGTGCTAATGTCAGTCCTAAGTGATACAAGAATTAAAGCTTCCATGGGTTAGGGCAGGGAGAGAAGAAGATTGTTTCTAAATACATGGAATTGGTTATAATCTAAAAGTGTTTGGGGCAAAAGTTTTAAATAATGGAGGCACATTTCTGTGAATTAAAAATTAACTGGAAATTAGAGATGTGTCATAAAGAATAATGCAAATCCCATGACAAAAATATTTCTGAAAGTATGTGGAATAATTTTTAAAAGAACAAGTTTCTAAACCTATAAATCCTGCATATGTTTTTTTTAAAAAAAACACAATGAACATATACATTTGTCAAATAGAACCATATTATAGTAATTATAACACATTTCATATTACAGCAATTTTAGAGGTGAAAAAAGCAGCATTCTGGAGAATTATGTTGAAAAGCCAATGGCTGGCAAAACCACTAATTATTACTTGGTATTTTCATAACTGTGTACAGATGTTTTCAGTTAGTTCTCACTCTTTTGTTTTGTTTTGCTTTTTTTAAACCTGGCAAAATGTCAAGTTATCTTGAATAAGCTATCATCTTTATGATTTTCTCTGAACTCTGCATGTGGTGACCTTTAATATATGCAGTCTGGCACCTTAGTCTGCAACTGGGCAGGACTCAAGATTTCCACAGAGGCACATCTAAGATAGGCACAGTAAGCATAAACTAGGTGGGCAGGTCCAGAATAAAAGAAGTGAGCATGAGTACCTGTGCAGGCTTACTACACATGTAAAGACTCACACGTATGTTATAAATGAAGAGCAAGTTAGTTAATGCCAGCTCTTTTTTATTCATTATAGCCTATTTTTCCCCCTGTAATATTTTGTACACTGTTAATGTCAAACTGCTCTGCTATCAAAACGAGCACAGCAAAATATGCATCATAAAATATATGTAAGTTCTGAAGTGGTTAGAATTATTTCTGTTATCCTATAACTGGAATCATGGGATTTCTGTATGGGTACGGTCCACGCTTTTGACTGTGGTTAATTTGTTCATAAGCCACCATTAATATTGACTGTATATTTTCACAGTCTGGGTAAACACTTCATTTGCATTAAATTTACAGCATTAATGAGATGTGAAATTTAAAATGCTACTTGAAACATACATGATGTAAGAAAGCAGAACAAAAAAGTGTTTTATCACATCTGAAATCAGTAAACTAATTTAAACCTATTAAAATAGGAATGATGTGTCGCCCGAGATTTTAACTTCATAACTCATCTTCTTAGACTAAAATACCAAAGTGGGGTGTAAAACATCTGGAAAATCTGAAAGCTCAAAAACACAAGTTGTGTACTGCTTCTACTCTAATTGGCTTTTAAATCAGTTTTCAATTTTCATCTTTGGAAACTATAGGCTAGTACATTCTCAACAGCCAGTAAGACTGAGAAAATTACTGTTTGGCCAAAATACTGTTATTCATGATTGTTGTCGATACTTGCCACAGAGATGGAAAAGTTCCTGAGCCAATTTGAGAAACTCTGTTCAGAAAGGCAAGAAACAAAGGATAAATGAGGAAATAATTTGGAGAGTGAAATGATCGATTTGTTTCTCAGCAGCCCTGTGAGCCCCGTTCTGAGTCCAGATCTGAGAGGCAGCATGGAGAAAGCACCAATGCGAAAGCGTGGCTACACCATCACACCTGGGGGAAACTTGCCCACCTGTTGCTGATGTAGGAAGGATGGGTCTCTTGGGCTTAGTCCCACATATCGATTGGCTTGAGATGTGCCTGAGGCTGTGTAGGCTGATTAAGGAAGAACAAAAACAAAGATAAAAATTGTGAACTATCAGAATGAACACCCTGTCCATGTAAAAGAAACCCAGAGAAGAGGGACTTGCAACCAAAAAACAAAATGTCTCTATTTCTCTTCTCCTTTGTCCGAGTGAACACTGAATGATATAAAAGAAATGGTAGTTGACCTCAAATCAACTACTTTATCCCCCTCCCCAAAAACCTATCCAGTAAATCATATCCCAACGTTTGGTGCAGGCACCTCACATTTCATGATCCAGCTAGTCTTGCAGGGGTACCAAGGACTGGCTAAACAGAAGGGCTCTTTTCCTAGATGTGCCTTTTCATCAGATATTAATTGTCTAATAATGGAATAATCAATGATGATCTATGATTCTAAATGTAAAAGCAGACTGAAAGTCTGTCAGGAATAATTGAAAGCTTTTAATGATTGGATTTAAGCAGATGTGCTTGATGATACAGGATGAAAAATGTCCTGCTTAAAAGTCTCACAAAAAAAAAAGAAAATCTAATATTACTAATATGAAGAGGAAGCCTGCTTTTATTATACCATATAGAATGAATTAGCTTAGTATTTTATTTAACATGAAAATGACCTTAGCTTTGATGGAAATTTTTTTTTAAAAAAACAAAATAATTCTTTTCCACAATCACAAAAAGTCCATTTCTTGTGATTGGAGTTGATGGCATCTTGTAAATACATGGCTACCAGGCAGTAAATACATATGGTGAATACTCCTTAAATTATATGGCCCGCCTTGCAAATACTATTTGCACAGGTGCATTTTGGTAAGAGTGAATTCCAACACTCCCCCCCAAAAAAACCTCCCTATTCCTAAAGATGTTGGGTTCTTTTTCAGGGGGAAAGAACTAATGTACCTTCAACAATTCCATTGTTCCATGTTGAATTAAACAGAAGAACAACTGAATTTTCACCATTTATATTACACTGATAGTTCTGAAAAAGCTAAACTGTTTGGTTTTAAACCCCCAATTAGTGAGGAACCCAGGCATTAACTTAAAAAAAAGGGCTTTTTAAAAACCAGTGCAGTCATTCTGCCATGTTCACTGGTGATGGACTGCAGCATTTGATCTACTGAGGCATTTTTAGGTTAACTTTTTAAAATAGTGAAGATGCTCACAATTCACCTTTTTTATTACTCCTGGGCAAAGGGCCCATGGAAGGGGGGCCATGTGAAGTCAGTGGCCCCGAGTAAGTACCCAGGTCTCTGGAATTCAGCACACAGCACGGGCAGCTGCCTAACCATTACAGAGTTGGCACCAAGTCTGTGCTACTTGTTCTTCTCGGCCATGAGATGGTTTCCATGGCCTCTGTGTTATCTTCAATTGCACTGACTTATCAAGTCAATAACCAATTTCTCATTATCAGCAGTGCTTGGGTAGCTGGAGCTACAAGTTTGTTTCTGGGAAAGAAAAATGACACACTCTATTTCTTTAATGCAAGAATGGAAAATGGGCTGATGCCACCATCTTTTGAATATTTTGTAATTTTATTTGTCAAATCAGGTCTCTTTTTGATCAACCTGTGTGTGAGTATAAGAACAATAATTAACAAGCAGGCTGACTTTACTTCCATAAGTGAGCTGTAATCATTTGGATCTGACCTTCCCTTGAATTTTATCTATTAAATATCACTAAAGGAGAAGGTACCAGAAGTTTCTGGAACTTGGCTTTGGTCATTTATCCTGTAATAGGCTTTCAACTATTTCCACAAAAATATTTGTTTTCCATATTCTTTTATTAGAATTGCTGACCCGTTTGTTCAAAAATGCCAAGACATCCACTTTTAAAATCTGGATATATTATTTTAGTGACTGTAATGCACATAGCTAACCTTTATAACAAAAGAATTTTTAGCCTCTTTTGACTGTCTCATTCATCTGTGTATTCAGGCAAGTGTAGGACTCTTTATCTACAAACTAGTTACTAAGTATTTAATAATTATTGATGAAAACTATAAACCTATATGAACTTATTAGTTTCTGGGGCCTCATTAATTTTGAGAAATAAATGCTGAATTCACTGTACACCCAAAATATCTCCCATTTTCTTGTAGGTTCCATTGTAGCTTTAAAAAAAAAACACAAAAACAAACAAAAAAAACAAAAAAGTAAACAAAACCACATTCTTCCAATGGCAGAGGAAGAAAGAGCCAGTGGTACCTCCAATTGGCTTTGTAATTGCACAAAAGAATTTCCAGAGCATGGGGATTTCCTTGCTCTAGCTAAGATAACAGAAGCTCTGAATTTAAGATATAGCATATATAGTGGACAGAGAGCTTGCTAATTCCTCCTGACGGGAACTTCATCCATTCCACACTAACAATCTGTGCAATTCTAGGAAGGTGGTAGTTTGGATAAAGCCAATTGAAAAACTTATAAGTATTCTATGTGAAGAAGTGAAGGAATGATTTGAGTTATTGGTATGTGCTATGTAAATTGACTGGCTAAATCTCTGACATTTAAAATGTTATGGTCGTGCTAAAAAGCACAATACCTGATATACTATGATAGGCAAAATAATTTTAAAAATCATGTTTAAGCTGAAAACAAAGAAAGTGCAGGTAGCCTACATGTGCCTAATACTAAGCTCTGAGATATTTTCTGTACCCAATGCTCTGTGACTATTTCTCACAAGGACACAGCCTACAATAATGCAAACAAGCAATTATCTTACAGAGGCACTGATTCAGTCTGCCTTGTGAAGGGGCTTGATTCCTATAGGAATGCTCCAATGAGTAACAATTATCTAATCTCTCTCTGGGTGATATAAAAATCTTGTACACTGCATTATGTTATTCAGTGCATTTTCAATGTATACCTTGAACAAGCAGGCATGACATTATTTTTGTTATAGCTCTTTATTCAAACAATTAAGCTTCTCCCTTTTCAAATATGATGCACTGACTTAAATTTGATAAGAGAGAGCATGTAACTGCCAGGCCAAACACATGCCTGCTGGTTCCACGTAAATGAGAAATCTCCATCTGGTTGGGTAGCTGGAAAAGTCGCCGTGTTTTTCACCCTGGATCAGATATCCAAAGGTGTCTTTGATGGACATTTCTCATTTCCTACAGAAATACTTACTGGTTGCTGTAGGTGAAGCTGCCTCACCTTCAGTGGATGTAGTGATGGGTTTAGTATCTGTCATGGTCAGGGTCACAGGTCGCACTGCACTGGGATGGGGAGAGGGTGCCAAGACAGGAGTGAAATGGCCAGGCACTTTCCCTACTACTTGACCACTGCTGTTAGGCTACAAAACAAAAACAGAATGCCAGTGAAACAATCCAAAAGGCAGTCATCTTATCCAACAACTCCACTCAGCATACTTGGCCAAGTGGACCCTGCACGGTGCGTAGTCGCCACACATGCCTTGTCAAGTCTGGGTCCGAGAGGTCGATCCATGGTTAGTAGTAATATGAAGCAGCAGCACTTAAAAGAAAGTTTTTACCTTCAAAGCACTTGATACAGGTTAACTGACTTTACAACATTCCCTAGAGCCAGGTAGAACTGATCCTTTCATTAGTATCCAGAAAGCTCAAGAAGAGACTTAAGTGCTTAGCCAAAGGCTAAAATAGAAGTCATTACTGAGCTAGTGTGAATTAAAACTAGTGCTTCTTCTCTGCTCTTCATCTTCTACAAGAGTCAGTTTTGGCTTCCAGAACACAATTTTCACCTAAATGACAATATCACTGATACAAAGAAGACAAGAATATCTAGCCTACCGAACACACCAAACTGAGTCATTTCTGCAAGACCCATTCTTCTGCAAGCAAACCTGTCTCTCTTGCTCACACACAGTTACACTCAGACACACATTAGGCAATTTAGATCTTAGGACCTCCACTCAACTTTTGATGATTTACTAATACAAGCAGGCAGAATGATATTTAGAGCATTTAAAAATTCAGACCCATTCAATGATATAAAGTAAGGTCTGACCTTACACCTACAAATAAAAAGTTTTCAAAATAAATTAAAATGTGTTGAAGTCAAGCAGAGGGCAATCAAATATACTGTTATTTGAGCTACTTTTCCATTGCTGGGTGTGGAGAATTATACAAAATATTTATTGTTGACACTTGTGGGAATTAACTGAGAATTGCCCTGGGCAATGATAGAAAAGATTTTATTATCTGAGTTTTAGCCCCAGTTACAAAAATAGTATCCATATTAGGATATAAAATCCTAAAGGTCACACTGTTTGAGGAAATACTTGAAAGTATTTTTCTAGACAGAACATGCTATTTTTAATTAACACTCATGTTGCAATTCTCCACTGCATGTGTTCATAGCAATTTGCCATGAGAGTATTCTCTACAAATATTTAGTCTTAATAATCTGCACTGCTAAAAGCAAAAAAGCAATGAAGCAGAATATTTATCTAAATACCTGCATATAAGTTACAAGTAGACATTTCTTTAGAGAAAGAGAAGAATAGCTAATAACATTTAAATACTGTAACTTAGAGATGTGAACTAGGGTTTCAGTTAGGTTCTTCAGAGGCCATATCATTTATTCTATAAAGAAATGGACTTGAATATTCTGACCATTCACCACCAGTAATTTTAAGTATTTAACTTTATGTCAGGAAAATTGACCAGAGTTTCCCCCTACGGAAGCCTATGAGAGTTATAACTTTAAACTAATTTTATTTAAAATATTCCATTAAATAGCATGACTGTTTCACTCTAATGGGTGCAGCAGCAATGTAATTAATGTCCAAACTGCCATGGGGAGGACAAGGCATCTCAGTTGCCTGACTTAACAATCAAAGTCAGCACAGTGCCAGAGGACACTGGTGGTGGGGGAGTTGATTCCAGGTGAACAACTACTCATGTTTCCCCATTTTTAGAGCTAAAAAAGGTAAATATCAAGAGTCCTATATTGAAATGCAAATTAATTAGTTTTGAGGTGGAGTTAAACATCAGAGCAGGCATAATCTTCCTTCAAAAAAATCTGTAGTAAACTACAAAGACCAATTTTTCCTTTCAAGGGGAAAAAGTCTGCTTCTAAAGCAGACTATCAAGTTTATTTGAACATCTCAAAAGACTGCTTTATAGATCTCAGAAAGAACAGTCTCATTCTATCCTAGTGGTATGTTCTGAGGTAAAAAGCATTTAGTACATTGTGTTTACCAAAACAGTTTGGCAGTGCCTACCTGAGGGCATGGAACAGAAGAACGACAATAATGTTAAGGAAATGTTCTGAGAGAATACAAGTAGCACTTTGCCCATTCTGTAAGCTGTCTACTGGAATTGAACTGACATGAACCAACAGATGTTTCATTTAAAAAATAATGATAAAAGTGACCAAGAAAGAATTTCTAAACCAATAGAGTCAACTTTTCTGAAACTCAGGATCAGAAGAATGACAGGGTTATTTGTTTTCAGTTTTCTACTACTTCAAACAGATGAAGTTAGACTAAAACGTTCTCTTTTAAAACTTAAATAGATGAACTTTCATACTATTGATATGAAAAGACATTGCATCTGAAGATGAACTTGAAGAGCATTAGGAAAGGACTATCCTACTCAGTACATTGCTCCTATGGTACAAAGTCCTGAGAGAGGATATTGTTGTTAATTGAGATGAGAGTAAGATGCTTCTTTTAGAAGCTTGATCTTTACCCTGAAAATATGAAGAAAAACTGAAAATAATATAGGCAGATTATCACCTAATATGTCCTCTTAACTTATAAAAACATTAAAATACACATAAAACAAGCACTGAATAATTAAAGAAATGCATAACAGTAAGGGCCTGATTTTAATTTGCATAATTTTTCCCCTAACAGTGCCTAATTAAGACATCAGTTGAAAAAAAATCCAATGGAACTCTAAGATTTTCCACACTGAATTAACGTTAAGGATTTTTAATGGATGTCTTAATTAGACTTTGTTATTCATGGAAATTCTACACAAATTAAAATCAGACCTTGTGTGCACTGTTCCCAGCTGAGTCTAGCAGAATGCTCTATGGAACTTAGACTTTTGAATCCATGCTCTAACAGTAAATTTTATTTCTAACCTGATATACTAAGATCCTACTGTTTTTCTTAGTAAGTAGTATTACTGTCATTAAAAGTGCCACACCATTTGGACATTTTCTTCTAAAATACAAATAGTTTAACTTTAAATTCAAAAGCTGAGAATGGTATACTTAGCTTAGTATTATTAGTCAATGAATCTAAAAGAACAGGTAACTTTTAAGGTACCCAAATGGTGGTGGAATAGTTGTTATTCAAAATAAAACATTCAGAAAGAACCATTTTGCTTCATTTTAACCAATTAAATTTATACAAAAGGTTTGTTTTTTATATCTTTCTTTGTCAACTCTAAATTAACATGCACATACTACTTACTGAACATTTTAAGAACTGAACAGCATTAGTAACAGAATGTTTACAAAGGTCCCTCGGAGCACTAAGAGGTATAATAAGGAGTCTTCGGTTTCAAACAGCAGAGCCAAGTACCAGACCATACGATCAGAATCACATTACAGATTTTGGATATTACGATTATTGACAGACCCAGCTTTGGCACAAAGACCGTCTACTTGATTGTGGAAAATCTTCTGATCCCAAATCTCTATGAAACAACCTCTCGATAGAAGAAACCACATGTTTGGGGAGTGAGAAAGGCACATGAGTCACTACACTTATACAATGAGTCCCTAAAACCGCTGCACAATGTTTACAAAAAAAAGAGACACTTCTGGTAATGTCACTCATTATTAAATATAGTCATGTCTGTGCAAAGAATATTCAAGTAGTCATCAAACACTGAGAATGTTTACATTACCGAAGCTTATTTTAATACCTAATAGTTAGTCTATAAATACAACTGTAAGTTCTTTTGTGTGTGTTTATTTTAGCGCATACCTTGCTCCTGCCTGAAATAAGCACTTTGTCTCTGTGTCAAGCCAGGTATTCCAGAGGTGTGAACTCCAGCTCAGAGCTTTTTTGTCCATGTACGTTCTGCATAAACTTTCTCTTCAGTCAATAAAAATCCAAAAACATCAAACCAAAAACATCTTCACAAATGTGCCCCTTTGGGGCAACACACTTCCTACCTGTCATTCAGCCACCTTTAAATAAAAACTTATTGAGTCACCAAGACACTTTCTGAAGATGGATTTCGAAAGCTTGTTGTTCTGCCAGACATAACTGAGTAAGCTCCATGTCTTTAGAGTTAGACCTGTTCCATCTCCCTTAGGCTCTAATCTTATTTGCTCTCTCATGTTTACCTGGCTGGTTTGCGGACTGGATGGGTCATAAGAAGGTACATAGTTCTTCAGAGTATCCTGAGGATTCAGGTGGGGAGGATATCTGATTGTTGGATGAGAAAAGTAGCTTGACGGGGCTGGAGGAAGAATAGCCTGTGTTGGAAATGGCAGCGGTGAGGGCGGAGGTGGAGTTCGAGTTGAGATGACTGCAGAAGATAGAAAAGGAAAGATGGCCTTGTTAGCTGTTTCTTGGACACTCCACACTGATCCCAAAGAATGCTGTGAAACTATAAAAATGACTGTTATTCATTTTCTCCCCATGATTTAACTAAACTCTCCTAAAATAGCAGTTAGTTTTTTATTCTCAATGTCATTACTGCTAAGCACACACAGACACAACCCCCATTATAGGGAATTAACAATTTTGCCTTCTAGATCTACATATTATTAAAAAAGAAGTTTCTCTTTCATAGGTTAAGCCAATACCTTATAAAGCATTTCTTTAAGCAAAGTTATTCCCCATCAGAAGCATTCTTTGATTAGAAAGCCTTTGTCTCATAAGTCCAGACTAAGTTGCAGCATTAATTAGAGGATGGGGGATCCACAATTTCCTACCAAAATTCAAAACAGAAGTGTAATCCAATTTTAAGTAAATATTGTCTCTATACATCCTGGATAATAGTTGGGTACAATGGAAGGCAATGATTAATAAACAACGATGCCCTGAATAATGACTTGATCATTGTATAAATGCCCATGAATATTTGAACACAGAGCCTGGGAACTCTTTTTTCTAATAAAAATGTTTCTTTCATAACCAAAAATAAAGCTCCATTCTTAAGCTATTTTTCTTTCCACTCCAACTTTTACTACATGTAGCTTAAAAGATATTAAACTAAGACTAAGAATAAAACCCACAGAAACATAAATTTATACTTTCATATTGACATTAACTTACCCATAAATCACATATTTTGTAAAGGGAAATACTGTATAAAACATATGCAATGTGGGCAATGTTTAATTGTACTGTAACTTTTCAACATTAGCATAACCACAATTTATTGTTTAGTTTCTGAACTACAATGTCTAAGTTTGAGAAATGGAGAAAGCATATAATTGCATGATCACTGTCTCTATAATGTTGAGGGAAACACATAAGTACAAATTAAGAGTACCAAGCAGTACACTGCATGTACTAGTAGAGAAGAAATATCTGTTTCTATTTAATATTTTGATCCAGACCATAGGAAATCACATATGATAAATGTTTAGTGTTTTATGAGACAATGTAGCAAACAATAAGAAATAATAAATTCTTTCCATGACCTATAAATGAAAATCATCTGGAATAACTTACCTCCAACTTGTACTTATGTGCAAAAAAACCCAAAAAACTTTTTAAAGGATATTGCTTATCTTCCTCAATAATGTCCAAGGCTCTCAGAATCTTCTGAACTGCTGTTACAAAGAAAATTCCTGGGCCTAACCACAGACCTTCCAGAGAAGGACTCCAGGGCTGAGGCACCAGAAAGTGCGTTTTAAACAAGTGCCGCATGTAATCTTTTCACACACTGAGGTCTGATCATCCTCCATCAAAGGGATGCATTGCAGAGAATTATTATTAAAATATCACTTTATTTAAGAAGTATGTACTTTTGAAAGTATAATTTAAGGATACACAAACATCTCAGTTAGACTGGGCATCTTTTCACTTTATGTCAAAGTGCTCTTAATCTCAGCTTGGTTTAACCATGGTATTCACCCATATCTGTACACAAACCTAGAAGGTTATTGCTTATTTCTATGTTGATTATTATTTAAATCTCATTTTTAATCTTTAAAAGAGGATTTAATATTAATTGTTCCTTAAAGTACAAATGTGAAATATTGGATTAAAAAGAATCTCTTTAAATTAAGATATTAATGATAACATCAAGTATATTAGCCCACAGAAAGTATCTCTTTTATCTTTTCTGATTAATTTAATTCCCAAATAAATAGCTAAATATTGATTTTCATACAGAATATAACATATACAGGGTCAACTTTAGCTCAAGTGGTTATTTTGTCATGGCAGACACTGAATATAATATATACAGCCCTGGCCAGGTAGCTCAGTTGGTTAGAGCATCAGCCAGATACACCAAGATTGCAGAGTTTTGATCCCCAGTTATGGCACATACAAGAAACAACCAATGAATGCATAAATAAGTGGAATAATAAATCAAGGTCTCTCTCTCTCAAATCAATATAAGGAAAATTTTTTAAAAAGAATATAATATATACAGAAATAATGGCTGTATATTTTAATGCCTCTAGAAATGCTCTAAATTCAGCAATATACTGAAAGAAATCTTTGTCTTGGTAAAATACATGGAAGTAAGGCCCACCCTGAAGATACAGTTAAAATAACCACATACCCCATATTTTCTAATTTCTTGTGATTATAATCTTTCCAATAAAGGCAATTTAAAGATATATAGCTAAATGGTATTTAATTATATGGCTTTGAAAATCTTTCCTCACATACTGATAAGAAAAAGAAAACATTTGATCAGATTGTGACCCTCCCTCTCTTGGTTGAGAAAACATGGTCACCATAGCTGTAATAAACACTGCTACTCCATCCCTGAGGGTTTGACTCTGCAAGTAAGAAGGAGGCTTCTCCTCTATGTTTGAAACTCCTCACCACTGTGTGCAACTCCAGGTATTCCGGGATGGTGGTGCTGGGGGAAAGTGCTCAACCTTGGGGAAGAATCCTGTGGAGATGTAGAGCTGAACAATGGCTTTTCGGGCTTCTTCATAGTAGTCGGAGAAGACATATCTGCCAAGGAAGAGGGAAAAATCCAAGCCTTGTGACTTTCTTAAGCTACAAGGTTCATACTAACATGGTAGATCTAATTTCCACCACTATTATTTTTGGTGATTTTTGCTTGTTTACAGAATATATGTTGAGGGTCAAAGATCTATCTGTGTTGGAGCTCTGTGTTGGAGCTCTATCTTCTGACGCATTTCTGAAACGTGTCAGAAACAATTTCTACTGTCTCATTAGAATTATCATCAGAATAACTTGTACCTAATAAGTGAATTTTGAACTTCTGAAAAATTAAGTGTCCTTGGCCCCTTGGTTCACATGAAGGTGTTTTTTACCTCAGCTTTTCATTCTTAGATTTATACAATCAGGGGTTTGTCTTTTGACTTGAGGACTACACTGTGGAAAACAATAGAGAAAAACCCAGTGTGAATGTGAGAAACCACCTTTGGGTACACTGGTAAGCATATCATTGATTTAACATCTTTTGTGGAAAACTCATTACTTATTTAGCAAAAATAAAATCCTTAATTTGCTCATTTTGCAAATATTTATTCGGTTCCTTTCTTTGCCAGGCAAGGATATTGAAACAAGAAAAAGTAATTGCTACTGTAGGGATACTCAGTGTCAGTGAAGGGAAAAATAATAAGAAGACACTGGTCAACAGCTGAGAGGGAGGAAGTGGATTGAGAGCAGAGGTGTTGTGGTGTCCATGTCTCCTCTGTCTCCTCCGTTTCCTCTCCCACCTCACTGTGCTGGAACAGTAATCACCTCAGCCTCCCCAGGTTAAAAAAGGTGCCCCCAGGGGCACCATGTTTAAAATGTGAATGGCAATGACATATTCAGAGAGAGGAAATGTTCTGAAGAAGGGGGCCATAAAACATACAAGTAGTGCAAATAGTCTGTGGAATGAAGAACAGAGATAAAGGAAGGAAAAGAGCAGCTGGCAAGACCCACATGATAAGGGGCCATGGGTGTTGTGTATGAATGTCTGAATGCTTATCCTGATGGGAGAAGGTTATTGATGGGTGAGCTATGATCACACTGACAGTTTAGAGCAATCCCTCCAGAAACTACACGGAGGATGAATTAGCCAAAGTGGAGACAGCAATCATGGAGACTACATAAGAAGATAGATTAATTAATATATTCATTCATAAATATTTATTGAAGGTCTAATTTATTCCAGACACTGAGTTAGTTGCTGGGGACATAACAGTCAACTAGATTCAGTTTCAGCCTCTATAAAGCTTGAAATCTAAAGAGGGGATATGGATAAGTAAAAAGGAGTTACAGTGTAAGGAGTACCATAATGGGAGAAGCATTCAGGGATGTGTTCATATAGTCATTCACTCATTGCACAGATAGTTAATACTGCCCAAAGACAGATCATTAAAACTTGAAATCAGAGCAGAGACAGAACCAATATAGATCAGCAATTTTCAACCAGTGTGCCACAAGCATTTTTAAAACACGCAGTGCCTGATTATTCAGTCAGGGTAGTATGGACACCACTACCTCACGGGTACCTTGAGCAGTACTGATTTTTACCAACATTATAAATTTATAGTAAAATATTCTAAAATTCATATAAGTACTAAAATTTGTATTTTTATTATCAAAATTTTAAATACATATACAAGTAGAATAGTAATGAATGCTCATGTACCTACCCATCACCCAGCTTCAATTATCAAATCACAGTCAATCTTATTTCACCTTTACCTCATCTACACTCCCTACCCTTGTATTACTTTGAAGCAATTCCTAGGCATCACATAATTTCACCTATACATATTTCAGTTTGTATTTCTAAAAAAAACTTTACTGAAAGAAAAAAACCCAAAATCTCATCACACATAATATATATATACACAATGTGCATTTTTAATTAACAAAGTTTTGACATTAAAAAAACTACATGGTACAAGTAGTACAGGAAACTAGTTAACATTATATTTTGCCATTTAAAAATTACCTAAACTCTGGTAAAGACATCCAACAAATTAAATATATATTTTCAGCACACGAAATTAAAGAATGGACAAGCTACTGTAAAGACTATAGGAATAACAGTCTACAAAAATGATAGGCATATCTGTAGCGATAAGCTACAATTTGTGACTGATTGGTTGTCACTAACCTACCAAAACGTTGATGAATCAGTGAACCATTTTCTTATATCTTTCTAATAAATAAATAAATAAATAAATAGTTAATAAAACCATAGCAATTAGTGCTGTTACCAAAAGAAGAGAAAATTAAAAAACCACTCACAAAAATAAAGGAATTTCATTTCAGCTATGTTACCTTCAAAATGCCAAAAATAGCTATGTGATTTTAAAAGGTAATACTAAAAAATATAGGCTTTGACCTCATGGAAGTTAATCATGGACATACACATTGCTAGAGGTCAGAAAAAACCTCTATTTCATCACTCACTTTATAAATGATGTAATAAGTTTCCCTCCCAAATTTTTAATTTAAAATTAACTCTTAGAAAAAAAAAATCTGTTAACTTTCTATTGATGCTCTTGTGATTTATCTGTGCTTAAACACAAATTTCAAATGAAATTAACCTGTGTAAATTAGTGTGTAAAGACTCCCTAGTATAAGTAATAAAGCATTTACTGTACACTTAAACAATTAAATATGACCAGAGCTTGGGAAGCAAAATAAGTTTCATTCCAGTCATGTTATTTCTGGAGATCAATCAAGGCTATTGCAAGTACTGTAACTATTTCAGAATTTTCATTAAACCCAGCCAAATTCACATGAGTATCTTTTTGTAAAGGGTTCATAAATCAAAGGCATTTGTGCAGAAATTAAAGAATATAGGTGATTATATAATTTTTGAGAATTAAAGCCTTTGCATTTTCTTTTTTTTAAGATTTTATTTATTTACATTTTAGAGAGAGGAGAAGGGAGGGAGAAAGAGAGGGAGAGAAACATCAATGTGTAGTTGACTCGCACGTGGCCCCCAATGGGGACCTGGCCCACAACCCAGGCATTTGCCCTGACTGAGAATCAAACATGTGATCCTTTGGTTCTCAGGCCCACACTCAATCCACTGGGCTACACCAGCCAGGGTGCCTTTGCATTTTCTTAATCAAAATGATACTCTTGACTTTATCAGGTAATTATTATAGGTCCATTTATTGTTTTGGTTCTTTTTTAAGTATGCATCTTCACATTCAGAACACACAGAGGAGTTAAAGAGGCCAATGCAACAGAAAAAACAAAAAAATCACTCTCCAAGCTGTAAAAAGGACCAGGAATTGTCTCCTTCTTAAACAACAACAAAAAAATTGCAATAGTAAACAGAATAGGAAGGTCAACTGGCCATACTGAAATTATTTTCTTCAAAAATTAAAGAATGGTAGTATTAGAAAGCAGGCTTAGCTGATTTGTTTTCCCATTAAATGAAATTAATTTGGAGTCCACCAGTTAATAGAGATATACTGCATGTATAAGGCAGTATATCCTAAGTATGCTAAGTACTTAGAAGGACACAAAGTAAACCCCCCCCTCAAAGGGAAAAAAAAAACCTTTCTGGATGGAAGAGGGAATAAAAATAAAAGGTCAATTATCTGAGAAAAGTAAGGGTAGAGTTTCTAGCTATTACATTTTCATCATGAATCAAACTAGTGTTGTTTTGATTTTAATTTCATTTTGAATGTCTACAGTCTAACAGACCTCATGCCAAACTAAAAATGGCATCATTTCTATTTTTAATGCACTCATATGCTACAGAAAAAAAACATGTTTGAGGAATGAATATATAAAAGAGATGGTTTTAAGTGACCTTTCTGTAAAGAAAAACAAATACCATGCTTTTCACAATCTATTGTTCCCCAAGCAGAAAGAATAATACATAAAAAGATTAAATTGAAAATAAGTTGAATAATAAAGCTGAATAATATATATAAGGGGCACCCTCCAAAAAGACAGAACTATCTTCTGGAGGGCAGACGCCTTGCAGTACAGGCTTTCCTCACTAGGGGAGAGTTCTAGGAACCCATCTGTATCAGTGTACCAGCTGGCATTGTTGTGAGAGGCTGCATTTGGCTTCAGTTTTGATTTTTTTTAAGGCTCTTTCAACACATTTGCCCATTTCATGATGGGTGATTTATGAGCACACCTGCCCATACTACCTGAGTGTTCAGCAGTTTTGACCAAAAACAACATGACCTCTGTGCCCCACCCTCTCTATTCACCCTATCTCTCCACAAGTGGCTCTTTTTTATTTCCTTGCATGAAAAAACTCTTCAAAGGAAAATGGTCTGCCAATGTAAAAGAGGTAAAATTAAAAAATGTCAGAAGCACTAAAAGGCATCAAAATCTACAAGTTCAAAAACTATTTCAGCAGTGGAAAAAAGTCTTGATCAGTGTATTGCATCAAATGGAGAGTACTTTGAAGGTACTTTGAATTTTTTAAAAATAAATTCCATTTCCCCTCATAAATATATAAGTTGAATAATAACAAATGCATTATTATGCATAAGTTGAATAATACATGAAATGAAGAAGTTGAAGAGAGAGACAAGATCATAAGAAAAGAATTAGCTGTTACGTATGTTGGTAGGAAGGAGGCAGGAGTTATTGGTGGCTGAAAAGAAATGTGTAATGGCCAGTGAGGGCTTGATATCAGGCAAAGAAATTTAATAGGATTTAGAGTGTAAGAATTTATAAATTAATTCATTTTAGAAGGAAAAAATGTTCCAAAACCTCTATTTTTTCTGTTCTTGTAGCTTCCACTAGGCCCCTTTCATGTGTACCTGGTTGAATCAAGAATTTCCTGTTAAGTTTCCTTCCCAGGCCTTCCTCATCATGGTTCATTACAAAAACAGTAACTGAAATCACCTTCTTCAAAATATCTTCTTCTACCAAGATCTACCATGGAACCACATTTTCATATAAATTTTTCCTTATCATTCAATTTTGTTTATACTTATTACCTCCTGGAGGAGGAAGGAACGAGGAGGAATGTGCTTCTAACTCTGTCCCTCTCC